ATGTACACATACTGTAGATATTTTGTATATGTATATACAGTATTTATGTACATATATACAGTATATATATATGCACACACATCCATACATAGATACATACATTTATATGTACAAACACACATATATATCTGGGGTTTTTTTTCAGTCTCAGTAAGTGCTGTCAAGAATACTTAGTGAAATTTAATTAAAAAAAATGCAGTCACAGAACAGTGCGTGCAGGTGTAGCGTTCCTGTTGTTGTGAGTCATTCTGAGATATGATCTGGATGGGAACAATCACTTAACTGTCAGGCAAGTAAACAAAAAGACAAAAAGCAGACAGTTTGGGGGGCTGTGAGGGCTACACGTTTCCTTCATGGTGGTTTTGATTCTTTGTTGTTTTTTATTTCCTTGCTGTGTGGAGTGGCATGTGTTTATGTAAGCAGAGTGAGATGAAAGAAGAAAGGGTGGAATAACTCTGCTCTGCATGACATTTAGAGACGCATCTAGTTGAAGCCCCCACCCTTAAACTGTGCATTGACAAAAGGAAAACAAAAAAACAAGCAGAAAAAACAAGGCGAGTTGAGATAACCCCCCCCCAGATGTCCCCCCCCCCCCCATTCTCATCAATGCTGCTTGGTTTTTACTGTAATGATGGGTGGAGACAGTTATATAAAAAGTATTTAGGTTAAACAACACATGAGGCGTGGTTTACAATGATAATCACTGCATTTCTTTTCACAATAAAATCTTTTAATTTGAAAATTGAAGTCAGATACAATTCGAAAGAGGAAAATAATAACGATAATTATAATAAACAATATGCCTTTTTTTCCTGTTTTAATTTTCACAAATCACTATCATGTATTTGGCCGAAACCCATTACTGCAAAATATACACGTGTTCTTCACTGCCGGGCGTCTTCATGTACTGTCGCGCGTGTTTCTGAGCTCATTTCTTTCACCTTCAGTGCAGCAGTTATGTACGTCATTAAACATCACCCGAGGATCTGAATTCATTTGCGTTCTGTGATAAATAAATTACATATTGCAGGACATTAAACATACACAACCGTTACAAATACCTGAGAGCCCTCATATCAGGAAACTTTACATCATCGGAGATGACCAATCAGCACGCGGTTGCTATAAATGTCCATATTCAGGGACAAAAATAATACATCATCATTGCGTCTTAAAAAATACATTTGTACCTAAACCCTGTCTTTAACATTTTTGTAAACATATTTCAAATAATAAAAAACAAACACAAACACACACAGAATCACAAACGTGTATCAGCAGAAAAATAGACATTTAAGCACAATCGCTTTAAAATTTTACAAAACCATCCCCTTATGCAACAACACCACGGATTATGGGTTTTCAAGTAAACGTGTCACTCACAGGGAGGGTCGACAGAAGCCACCGATCCTTCCTACCTCTGACTGGCTGCCTGGGATCCCCTTTTTTTTTTTTTTTTACAAATATATTATGGGAGCATAAAGATATGATATACACACACAACACAAATAATGAAGTACTACTGTGTTACCTTTCAGTAGTTTCTTAAAAAGAAAAAAAAATGTGTTAAAATGTTCATTTCTTCTTTTGCTTCACCACATAGATGGAAAAATATACTGTATATATTTGTGTGTAATACATACGGTGGGGTGGTGTGAGAGAGTCACTGCATCAGGGTGTAAACCAGGGGTCACTAACTATATTTGTGGGAGGGAGAGAATTTTTCTGCAGAAAACTTTGGAGCTTAACCCTCAAATCAAATTATAATTTTTTTTCCCAAATAGTCATAAAAGGTGTCGATTACTGACGGTTCTTTAGGTCTCAGTCCTGACAAATTTGGAATCCAGTCACGGGCCTGATAGGACGGTTCAGTGGGCCAGATTGGTCCCACGGGCCGCCAGTTGATGATCACCGCCTTACGACATAGATACGGCTGTGTGGTGTGAGGAGTCACTGCCTCAGCTCCACGGTCTAAACAATTATCAATGTCTTATTTTTTTTTTAAATGTTGAATATTTTGAACAAAAAAAATATCAGGGTAAAACTTCAAAAAAGTACTGGAAACACGTGCACACGGTTTTAGCTCATGAGAGTTAAGAGCTCGCTTTAACTCTTTATCACCAGTGTATAATTACAATGTTGTTCCTTTTTCAAACGAGGGAATGCCTGTGTTTTCTCGTACCAACAAACAGGCCACGATACCTTAAAGCAGGAAGTAGACATAAAGTGCATGGCTAGCTGTGCGCGGCACAATTGTTCGCGGAGTCTTTTCACAAGCACAGACAGGAGCTGTAGAGAAAGATGCGACTGAGGTGCGTAAAGCCTTCGATGTACTGAAGCAAAAGGACAATATCTTTAAAACAATTAAAAATTGCCTTCAGAGTAGAACCATGTTTTTACTCAGTGCCCCCCTCCTTCTCACTGCAGCCCCCCTGCCCTACTATCTTCAGAGTTCAGAGGAGAGTGTGAGGAAGACATGGTTCATGGTGGTAGAAGTGGATTTGTTGTATCAAGTTTTAGCCCAAATATTTGTTCTAAGCAAAACAAAGTAACATTTAGGAAAACCTAAAAATAAATGCCAGAACGTTTTTTCTGTGTGCGCTATCAGACTGCAAAGAAGGCAGACGTATTTGGGTGGGCATTGGTTGTGCTCAAAACTGGACCGAATAAGGCAGACTCCAAACGGCCCATTGTCTGAAAGACGAAGTCTGAAAGTTTCGTATACAAACCCATTCAGAGACAGAGACAGAGAGACAGAGAGAGAGAGAGAGGTGAGGTACATTTATGCGTAAACTTTCACTAAAGCTTTGGACTCTACTCCAAAAGTTCACTTTGGAGTTTGCAGAAAAAAAAGAAGTAAATGAAACAAACTTTGTGTCATTAATGGCAGAGAATACAGAAGTCCTTCAGTATCAACAGACTGTAATGTTCTATGGTCGTACTACAACGGCAAGAATGCCAAAGAATTTCATCAATTTACTTCAGTGCTATTTTTGTTTTCACTAACAGTTTCACCTCGTAAGCACAAAAAAAAAAAAATCATTCATCATCAACATTCAATTTTCTACATTTTTCTTCTCCACCATAATGTTTCCAGTGATGTTACTCAACTTGAAAATGTGAACTAAACTTTCAAAAACTTTTTAACCTTTCATTTTTTGCAAAATCAATTTCTTTGCAGATGATAGTTTCATATTTTTGACAACTGTTCCTTCTTTTAAATGAAATATATTAAAACCTCAGTGGGTGGTATGTTGGACGTTTTATCATTAAAAATGCTTCATTAGTCAGAGATAAGGTAGCTTAAAAAAAGTTATAATTTTATGCCAAAAATATGCCCGATAATAATAAACATTTTTTGTCCTTGGTAATGTCTCAGATGTTGTAATCAATACAAAGTGATTTGAAGGAGGTAGTTGTTGCTTTTTGACCTTGACTAAGACCTAACTGGCTCTATTGGATTGAACACACTGGTTTTAGTTGCTGAAATAATATAAAGATTTATAATCAAAATATTGTACTGTACTGACATAAGGTGTCATTTGTCAAACTGAATTTTTAAATTTTTTTTCCTTATTTTAACAAAACATCAGCCTCTCCAGTCACTGTCTATGGTCAACAAACATCAATCTGTATTCAACTGGTTTTTGCGTAACATGGCTCTAGCATTTTAAGTCAAGTAAAAAGCTGCATAGAACCTTTAATTTAAATATTATTATTATTATAAGGATGATATTTTACAATAATAATAATATTCAGGATCTTTAAATTCATTTTCCACCATTGCAGCACATTGAGTCCATGAAGGAAAATGAATAAATGGTAAAAATAGACATCTCCACTGAGACAAAAAAAAACAACCCACTGATCTTAGTCGAAGTCATGTGACTGCTCCTCTATACAAAAATGCATACACCAACAATAAAAGAGAATAAAACACTTCCTTTCTTCATAATTCACTTTAAAGAAGATACATAGAAAATGTGTCTTTGGCCCATACCTTCATTTGATTGTTATATTTCACAACAAGCTTAAAAAGAAGTCTTTGATTGTGCTACACTTGTGTACGCTGCTGATTGGCCGTACAGTCTCGGAGGTCTGAAAACGACGGTGGATATTAGACTATTGCTCATATCCCTTCTGATTCTTCTCGTTGATGCCCACGTATGTGCTCAGTGGAAGGTGTGCTCGCCGCGGACTATGTGAGAGGAGAACTCGTAGCGATCTTTGCTGCGGTGGCCACAGATGTTGCACTCCAGCGGCTCCCTGTATCCATGGCAACCCATATGGATGGTGTACATGACGTGGTCCAGGAAAAGCACTCGACAGTGCTCACACTGGAAGGCCCTCACCTCCTGGCCGTCTCGTCCGAACACCCGCACCCCGTCGTGGCTCACGGGCCTCTCGGCAGTCACTCGCATCAGCCCCGGCCCCATTCCTGCCACAACTCTTGGCATCGCTCCGGCCGGCTCGCTGGGACCGACTACCACTGGACCTGCTTGGGGCCTGAGCCCGGGGTGGACATTACTCCTGTGGAATCCCTGCCTTTCCTGAGGGCTGCTGCGTGCTGAGTCAGCAGAGTCAGCCCCGCTGTTGCTAGGAGACTCTGCTAGCCCTGACTGGTGTGGCTTTCCCTGCCTGGATAAAGCGGTGGGGCCGTTTGAGGTTGTATGGCTGGGGAAGTCGAGTGACTGGGCAGGATGTGGCGGCAGTGAATCACAGTTCCGTGCGTGCTCCGTTCGCTGGCCTAGCGGTAGGACGTGGTGGTACATGGGGTTGACAATTGGCACCACCTCGGCCAATGAGATGGGTGGACCCGGATGGTGTAAGAGGGGCCGAAGTGACTCTGATCCCAAGTACGTCACAGCGTTGCTGATGTTGTGGTCCATTATGTGTGGGATCATATCACTCTGCTTTTCAAACTTAATGCCCATCTCGTAGCCCATCTCAGGGTAGCTCGAGCGAACAATCTTCTCACCTGGATAAAAATAAAGACCTCTTTGGCATAATGTAACGAGGTGATGTTTTGGGGGTTTTTTGGCAACTGCATCATTGTACGTATCAATGCCAAAGGCACCGCGGGAAAAGAGCACACGATGATCTAGAAGAAGGACAGATTGTACATAGTGCATATCAAACCTATATCTTGCTGTCACTTCAGCGCTTGTTTTTCATATCTTGTATTTTGTGTTCTGTCTGCACGAGTCTACATGAGTGGAAAGCCCCATCCATCTACTACTGCACTCTTTAACCCCTCTAGCGCAGGGATGCGGTGAGCTGTTTTCTCTCGATAAGAGCAATGCCAAACTTACAGGTGTACGTAACCACAGGGTGAAAAAAACATTTCCTTGCATCAGTCATGTGCTTGCTTTTCTGCCGCATTTCATTTTCTAATAGTGTGACAAATCAAAACAAATTCAGGAACAAATACGTGTTTTTCTCAAGTTGTCTGGTTTTTTGTAAAAAAAAAAAAAAAAAAAAAGCTGAGTCTGAATAAAAAGTAAAATGAATAAAAACAAAAATGGGAGCAAAAATTTAAAAATATTAGTTTTAAATTATAAATATTTTGTTATTTCAACATCATATTTTTGTTCTTCATGCAAAAAAATAATAATTTAGGCTATGTATCAAAATAATAATGTAGTTATGCTAACTACACACAGAATTTGACCTTTGCATTTGACCTACCCAGCACAGATCGTAAGACAACCAGACACGTGACTCTCTGGTGGGCCACAAAAAAATGACGAGATGGAACGGGTTTGGGCCCACGGGCCTCAACTTTGAAACATTTTGACTAAAGAGAAATATTCTGAAATCTCCTGCAAATTTAGGACCAGGATACTACATATCTAAAAAAAAAAAAACACTGATAAAAAAAATCAAAAACTATTTCAGGAAAACTGTTTCAGATAAATCATTTATCTCAAAGACAGGCGTTTTCAAATACCCACCTACAAACTTCTGGGGCGTGGTGCTTTTTCTCTTGCCCACGTTGCTGTGCAGCCTCTCAATAACAGGCGGTCGATCAAAGGTGGCAATAGAGTTGACTTCTGCCATGGGCCGGGGCTCTTTAGAACTATCACCTTCAACAGTTAACAGGAGAAATTGGTCTTAAACATTATTGGCTTTTGTCTCTTTTTTCTTATCAAAAAAAAAAGACCCCAAAACCAATGATAGGCTATTAAGATCCAAGTGTAAACATGCACTTCATTACTGTATTTCATGTTCAATCACACATTGGGTTCATTGCAGAATCAGTCAAATGGTTTACCTAGGTACGGGCCAGTGTTGGCACCTGGATCCAAACCAATTCCCTGAAGGTAACTATGACATCGCTCTTTATGTTCCTCTAAAGACGTTCGCTGTTTGTAGCTCCGGCCACAGTAGTTGCACTTGTGAGGTTTTCCAACTATATGTGGAAATATATAAAGGAGAGCACATTATTCTCATAGTAACCCGACCACTGAATATTACACACAAACCGAAATCGTGCCTCTGAGGTCATGGGCGTTCCACTACAAGTGTAAGAATTCCACACAGCATTTGTCAGACAGCAGAAATCTGTGGGCGACCAGTGTTGCACCAAGAAGTCTGCAGTTCAAAACCCTTTGGTGTCTGTGCCATTAAGCTCCCACTGGTGGAGTGTGATTCATTCACTGTGTCATTTCTGTTTCATTCAATTCCTTTGTGCAGGCAAGTGGAAAGATAAAGACACGTCCTTTACGTCTCTCGGCAACACACGCCGCGTCCAACGTGTTTCACTCTCATCGAGGACTTGATGAAACAGATCGAGATCCTTAAACAAGATCACTGTGGTTTACCTGCTCAAAATGTTGACCAGTCTCTCAGATAAATACAGCTAGCATAGAATTGGCAAGTAGAGGATTTCAGTTAACAATGGTTTCTTTGACTCTTCACGTAAAAGCTAAAGTTTTTTTATTATTTTTTTATTTTGAAAGTACAGAACCACAGAGTGGATTCAAGTGAAACGTACACAGCTAAAAGTACGCAGCCTTTGTGTCGTCAAGTGGAATACACTTAAAACAAGAGTAATGACTCATAAAGAGTGAGCCGTGAATGAACTGTGGGCCACATGAGTGAACCATGTTTTCAGTGTAACCCGGCAGCTGTCAGCAGCAATGAAACTGAGTGAAATGTTCAATGGAACAAGTATCAAAGCTATTATTAGACCAAGTGTCCATGATCCAGACATGAATGACTAATGTCATTAAGGACACACGCACATGCTCGCACAAACACACACAAACTTGTTTTTGTCATAAGTGAGGACTTTGCATACAAAGGCCTTAACCTTTATAAAAAAAACAAATCCAAACCATAACTCTAAATTAATCCCAATTCTAATCCAAACGTCATATTAATCCCTTAGTGGGGGATCTGCAAAATGACCCATTATAATATGTTGTCAAAAATTGTCCCCACAAGTATCTGTACCAGGTGCACACACACAGACAAACATAAATGCACAAACCTTGTAGGAACAGAAATGTACTTTTTTTTTTCCATAATTTGTTATTCAGTTTCCTGAGTTTTAAAACTGTCACTGTAACAGATCTGGAATGTAGGGCATCGTTTATGGACAGATGAAAAAGTCAATGAGATAATATGCACATATATTCATACATATATGTGATATATGCACATATATTCATACATATATGTGCATATATTTGTATATATTCACAAACTCTATATGGTTACATATATATGTATAAACATATATGTCCATACATATATGTGCATTTATTCGTATATATTCACATACCCTTTATGGTTACATATAGAGTATATATTTATATACTGTATATAAATATATCTGTACTATGTATTTTTTAGTTTTTTTAGTCAATGACCAAACCTTAACTTTAATATATGGAGACGAGCAAAAAAGAGGAACTGAAATGTTTCAAAAAGTTCCAAATTTACTGGTGCATTACACCATGCAGTAGCAACAATAAAAAAAAAACAAAACCTATATATTTCTCTATGTGTAATTAACCACAGGCCTTATCACACACACAAATGACTTCGTCTTTTGACCTTCACTTCAAACAGGGGCCACGGAGGAGCGACAACGTCCTCTTTCATAGGAAAACGAGTTACAGTTAAGGACCGGCCCAGACAATTTTCAAAAGAGAGAATTTCCTCCTCAGTGAGCCAAGCATTGTACTTGTCACCAACTCTGTGCTGTCTTTCAAACTCAAATGAACTCTCAACTCACAACAGACACGTGATGTAATAACAATACCTGTAGATCTAAAGTACTAACACTGCGTTCATGACAGTACTGTTCATTTCTGTCATGAAAAATGTAGAATAGGATTTGAACAGCCAGACAAAACTAGAACCTGATAGGGGACCACGGGCCAAGAACCCTATTGTAGAGGACCAGGTCCATGTTGTTACCTATGGATCTGAAAGAGCTGGTCATTCAGTTTTTAAAAGTACTTGACCAGGTCCATGTTGTTACCTATGGATTTGATAGAGCTGGTCATTCAGTTTTTAGGAGTACTTGGAGTACATGAAGTTAATCTTTGCCTCTTAGCTTCATTGTTAAGGCTGCAGAGTAGGATTTCCTGGGACATTCTGAGGTTTAATCACTGGCTTAAGAAGACAATACATACAGATACATACATACTTATATCCATACACACACATAAATATATATACAGTACACATATATTCATTTCACACATACTAAGGTAAAAGGATTCTTACCAGCGTGTGTGCGCAAATGACCAGTGAGAGCATCGCGCCGCCGGCAGGCGTAGCTGCAGAAGGGACATTTGAAGGGTTTCTCTCCTGTGTGCAGCTTGATGTGGCGAAGCAGATTTCCTTTCTGCGTGAATGAGACACCACATTGGGGGCACTGGAACGGCCGTTCACCTGAAGTAGGCAAGCACGGGTAGTCATTGTCACAAATAAAAAATAAATAGAAAAAATGTTGGTTAAAAACGACGTCACATCTTCCTTCTCATCACAAACAACATAAAATGACAAAATGATCAGTACATGCTCAGTGAAGTACAGTTCACTGAACCTTTCAGATGACTCATTTTTTAACGTATTTTTCCACTTTTTGAACTAAGTCAACACTTTGATCTCTGCTGGTCTCTATTTGTTTTTATTCTGCAGTGTTGTCACTTACGTCAGTTGGAACAGGTTGTGGAGGATTCCAAGGATATTTTTTCCTGATTGTTATTCCGTGTCTAAACGACTATCTTTCAGCAAAATCAAAACAAAATAAAAACACAGACAGCTACACCTGTTGTTCAGGAAGATGAGACGCTGAGCCCAGGGAAAGCCACCGTACAACTGTACACCTCTGACAACAAGCACTGACTCATGATCACACTGTAATCTATGTTTAACCAGGTTCTGTTTGGTACCATTAGGCTGTCGGATCCCTGCATCGGCGATCGCATTCGGTCCCGTGAATCCATCCTGCATGTTGCTGGGGCTGCCAATCATGGAGTCCTCCATCACTACTCCCTCCTCCCTGGATTGGCTGATCACTTCGAGCTCCGGGCTTCTGTTTTCACCCTCTTCCGCCATTTCTTCCTCTTCTTTAATTTTCAGGTCTGTAGAACAAAAATAAAAGTACTTCTCAGGCACCGAGTTTACAGTGTTGACTGTGGATACCACAGAAGCTTTTACAGTCATATTGCCAAAGTTGGGTCTTGGGTGATGGAAATAAACGTGGTTGGAGTGGAAGTATCAGTATCCTGTGTATAACTGAGTGGGAGAGTACAAGGCTTGAAATGAGCTGTACTGTAAGTATTTAGGACGAGATTGTACACAAGATCTAAAATGGACACACGTCAACTTTAAGTGGGTCGGCTCGGGAGAATATATATGTCACGAATGGAGACGTAGAGGGCGTATTTTCAGCTATTTCAGTTGCCCAACTCAAAGAGCGCAGAATTTATGGATGGATGAGAATGGTGTCAAAGAAAGAAAAAAAGAAAGATAGAAAAAGAAAGACAGTCAGACGGAAAGAGAAACAGGCTGGTCTGGTTCCTGGCTGTCCGCGGGTGGAAAGGGAGTGTCAGAAGCCCTGTAGCTGAGAACATCTGACTAGCACTGGGAGACTGGCTGGATGACAAGGGCAAAGGATTGAATCATGTTGTGCAGGAGTCTCCACTAATGGCTGTCTGTAAAACACACAGCTCCACTTTTTTTTGTTGTTGTTTAAATTTATCCCCAGATTGGCTCAAAATTAATATAAATAAATCACAGCATCATTGCATAGAAGAAAAAAATACATACTTTAGTATCTTTAGTAAAGATCGCCTTTCTATAAATTTCTATAAATATACTGTATATATTTCTATAAATATATTTCTATAAATATATATATATTAAATATATATATAAATATATATATATATTTTTTTAACCAAACTAGAAGCTGTTGGTGTTCATAGGTTCAAATGGGAAAAGCAGTTCAGACACATAGCAGGTCTGGGAACTATCCAAGCAACACTAACTCAACCTGATGTTCTTGTTTCTGGGATTTACGGGGCGATAAGTGCGTGGAGAGCATTTGTGGCCGTTTGCCTCGAGCCTGTTGTCTGATGGCGCTCATCAGCCGTCCTCACCGGTGTCGAAATCGCATACATTTATTTCTCAGAGAGCCGTTGATAGAAAATCACAAATTCCGGGGACATATAATTTTGAAAGGCAACAGCGAAATCTCCACAAAGGAACTGCTTTTTTCTTCAAACTTGTGCTGTATGTTTCCAATGCCACAGTTTTGCGCACAACACTTAGACCAATACCCACGTCTTCAACAGCTGTATCCTGGCAACGCAGAGCAGACCTGAATGTCCTTGCTATTCAGCTCTTTGCATCTTTACATCCATCTCTTCGGTGTGGCATAGTTTGAAGCATAGAGCGGTCAAAGGAGAGAACACACTCCTGTGGGCTGAGAAGCAGAATTTCTTTGTTTCTTCTGCCTTTTTGGAAACATTGTCTGCGATTCGTGCGAGTTTTAAGTAACTGATGAGAGACGTCAGAAAAGGTTTTGCAGTGAATCACAGGTTTACACGAAGCAACGCGTCTGCTGGGAAAAACGGTACCTGGTTTACATAGACCTGTTTCAGTTCCCTTTCTCTCATTACCATGCACAATGTATGAGACATCACAAAACTACACATCAGTGTGAATTCTCCTTTGACGGTCAGTGAACGGTGACAGTGCTTCACACATTAACAGAGCTTATGGTGCTGGGTCACTTCTGTTCCTCTGAAGGCCAATCATTGTGAAGCAACGCTCCGAGTGACAGCAGGTCTTATCGGTGAAGAGGATCTCCCTGTGACACCGCGGCCCTCCCTCTATCTCTGAACTTCCCTATTTCTCACTGGTGGCGCCTACTTTGCACAGTTTCCCCTTTCCGACTTTGCTGGTTCACAGTGACGCAGCTCATCTGAAGTAGACATTTGGACCGGAGAGCAACCAGAAACTCCTTTCCTGAGAGCTACATATACATTCTAAAAGCAACACGAGACATCGCCAAGACGTGAGGCACCGATCATGACATCAGCAGCACTCTGTCCTCAGTCAGTGCCATTTGTGTCTTTGCAGAACTAATTATCGAGCATTGTTCACGCTGAGGTGAATAGGAGAGAGTGATACAATGAGAGGGGAAAAAAGTAGGAAAAAGACATGTTCTTTTGATACATTCAGAAATATAAACCTTAATATTTACTTCTTAGAATAGAAGACGCTAGTGCTTCTGAAACTGAGGGGCGGGGCCTACTAGTGGGGAACAGAGATGGAGTGGGACAAATGGAAGAAAACTTTTAAGGTTCGATGTTCAAGTGCTGATGGCACAACTACACATCGTTTCGTTTTTGTGGTATTTCAGGCTGAAATTATTTTTTTTCCAAAAGTGAACTACTTGTCATTGTAGTGGACTCCTTCTGGACCCAAGTCCGCTTCCTTAACCACTAGGCCACCACTGCCCCATTATAAATTATGATGTCACTTGGTGTTAGTTAGTTGATCCGTAAATTGTCAAGATTTTTGTTGGAGCCAACGGGGGCAGGTGGGGGCATGAAAATGAATTTTTTAAATTTCCAAAACTGTTAGAGTCCAACCAGTGTAGGCAGAGGAGAGGATGGAGGCAGAACGTCCACGGAGGCGACACCTGAAGGGAACAGTCGCCTCCGTGGACGTTCTGGGAAAGAAAGCCTAACAAAATTAATAAAAACAACAACAGACAGGTCAGTGCTGATCACATCATAAATACAGCGTATTGTCAAATCAGTGGGAGAAGCCGGTCTGAGACAGTGTGTATGTATCAAGGACACACTGTGTGAGTGACATGGTGAAGCGTCATTTAGCACTCCACATTAGTATGTTTCTATTTATTGAGCACTCACCATCGGGGGAATTTGCACCCCGGGGAACTGTCTGTCCATTAGGCGTAGACATATCTGCCAAAATTCTTGAATTCTCCTTACCAGGAGAGCACTGGCCGTTACCTTGGAGACAAACAGAAACACCGCATTCTTCACTGTGATGTACAATGCTGCAGTGTAGCACAATACATACAAACAATAGTCAGAGAAAACTAAAGGTAGTCAAGGTAAAAACAGTCGTTTCTTTAATCTCTCGTGTCTTTCCTTTTCTTTTACTTGGGTTGAAACTCCTCATTGTTTTATTCACTGTTAGACCAATGGTGTACTGTACAGCATCTGTATGTTTATACTCCACGCAGACCCAAGTACAAGTATCATTGTTTTGATGATTTTAAAAAACATATTTCCAACATGGATTCAATCGTGTGTTCCTCAGACTCCACTGAGATCTCAGATTAAGTCAGATTAAGTGTAGTTTCTGGGTCAAACCACCAACCGTGGGTTGCCTCACTGAACAGTCTCGTCATTCACCTATGGGATCCTAATGTCCAGCAAATGTGGATCAGATTGCATCCTCTCAGCAGTCAGTACAGAACCCAGGCTATGGATAGCCCTGTGTCCACTCTAAGGGAGAGCGAATCAATCCCTTATCCTCTTTCACCGCAGCCCAGTCGGGGTCACTAGAACAATACAGTAGCGACAGGCAAACACCCCTGCTGACCCAGGTGTCAGATCCCTTAGGAACCACACTGAGCCACCTCTCAACACTAGGACCATTATTAGTCTCATCACAAGAACGGGAACACTTAGAAAGAAAAACAAAAACCCTTGAAGCAGATATTTAAGAGAATCAAATTAATGAAGAAACAGCAAAAAAAAAAAAAAAAAAAAAAATCTCCCGTGACAAACAGTGTCACATTCCTTGTACACGCGACTAAATTAGCAACAACTGGTGTGGTATTTGTTCCGTTGTGGTGCCAGCCCTGCTGATTGGGGTATACTGAGACACTGTCCATGACACAATCCCTGGGTCCTGGCTCAGGTTGCACAGGTTGGGGTTGGAGGAAATCTCAGGTGACCGACACTAGCTATCCCTTGGCAATGCTGTCCTGGAGACAGGAGTGGCCCAGATTTGTCATGAAGGATTTTCCATTACTGTAGCAGACGCTGACAGCTGCCTAGCAGCACGGTAGGAAGAGTGCCTCAAACATTAGGTGAAAAAAAACATACCTGGGTGCACAAGAATCCACTAAAGCATTTAAGCTCTTGCCATGAACAACAATAGTGAATGTGAATTCTGCCAGAGCAGAAGCTACGGTAAATGTATGGTTTGGAAATGGACTTGAACCTTTTCTGAACAAGTGGCAAATTAAACATAAAATTATTTGGAAATGTTTGATTAAGAAATACTCCAGACAGATTCAGACGGTCGCATCGGTCGCACAAGTTCATATTCTGGGAGGTCCATAAAAAGCAGTTTAGGTGGGAAAAAAAATGTAGTAGTGTTCTGAAAATGATTCAGGTGGTCATTAAAACTGATGTGTGTAAAGGACCATGGCAAAAAAAAAATGTAGTTGATGACTTTAAATTCTCGCATCTGAAACTATTAAAATACAATATTAGACAGGACCAAATGGACCAAAGAAGAAGAAGAAGAAGAAGAAGAAGAAGAAGAAGAAGAAGGAAACCATGGCTAATTTTTTTTAAGAATTTTTCAAGAACACCCGACCCAGCCAAAAAGAGGTATGGGTTTGCGGCCCGTCTGCAGTCCCCATCTTTGTCCTATTGAAAATATCTGGGTCGTCATGAAGGAGAGTCTGACAACAAGCACCAGCTCAAGTCTTTTTATGCTGTGAACGTGGCTTTTTCTTTTAAAACTCCCAACAATGAGTGTCCTCCATTTCCAACCAACTATAAGGTGTCGTCAACAGAGGGAATGAGACCCAGTGTTAAACAAGCCTTTGATGCACGTTTATTTATTTATTTTTTTCGAATTTTTCAGTGATTTTAATGAAACTTATCTCATTAATAAAATGTATAAACAAAACAAACGCACAGACGTCGAAGTAGTATGACGGAAGGTCTAGACAACCAAAACAGATTTTCTTTCCATCAATAATGTGTCAAATTCAAGGCCCGCGGGCCGAATCTGGCCCATTGCATCATTTTCTTGCGGCCCACATGTGTATGCTTGTCTTAACAGATGTGCTAATGTGTACTGGATTTTACTAGATTTTGTGTCACAATATTCTTTTTTGTTTAATGTTAATATTTTGTATTTTTTAATTAATTTTATTGAGGCAAAAAAGTCTGTTTGAATTCTTCTAGAATCGTCGATCCTCTTCAGCCTCAAACTAAGACTTGGGTTTTTTATTTAATCCTCGAGAGACTGAGTTTGACACCCACCCCCCCCCGCGCCCCTGATCTATAATATGGTACAATAAGAAAACAGTTAATGCACAGTAATATCACTACATTACATCTGTGCAGTATTTTAAGGTCACACTGCAAAAAGTTCCTCCATTCGCAGCACGTGGTGTTAAATAGTCTGAGGGCCGTGGGAGGGACTTACAGCCTTTATTTCTTTTACTGGCCAACTGCAACCACATGATCACCCATTTGAACCCACAAACCTTTGATGTCACAACACATGACTGATATGTGCCTGCATGGAATCACCTGAGATTTATGCGTTGGTGTCCCATCATTGCTGAGTCAATGTCATACGTACACTAACATCAGTATATTAAGCAGCTGAAACATACTGCGTGAGACGGCGGTTTGAATCCCACAGCAGAGTGGCATCATTTAATATGCTGGAAAATGGAAAGGAAAAAAAAAGGTGTTTCACAAAACCTGTGGGACAGATTTCAATATATACTAATTGATCTAAGGTTTAGTCACCGTCTCGAAACTAGTGAGAATCCATCCAAAGTATTTGATGATAACGCAAGGTTTTAGAAGTCAGTTTAAATGCCGTTAAAAATCATACAGGGTTCTTTTTGTTTTGTTTTAAGTGAAGACAAATTGGTTTTTAGGTAATTTGATAAGGTTTCATGGACATTAGAAGCAGCGATCAATTTCAGAAAAAAACAAAAACAACTGGACTGTATGAGTGTATGTCATGTTGTGGGATGAGACTACTTTGTTTTCTGGAAGGACAAGGGCCTCCTCTCTGGCCTGTTGGAAACACACATTATGGGAGCTGGTTTTTCCTGTCACAGCCTTCCTTCAGAGGTTTCCATTAGACACATATGGAGCACAACATTAACTATTTACAGTAACAATTATTTTCAACCTTAGAGAAGAGAAACTAAAAAAAGCAGCTGTTGCCAGGCCACAGAGTGAGTTTTGTTGGTTGGAATATAGCTGTATTTACCAAATATCTTCAATATCTTGTCAAAAAATACATATAAAGAGTAAAGGATCCAACAGTTGCTATGAAAAGAAAGTCTTTTGTAAGTCACATGTTTTGACTTGATTAGTGCACGTGATGTGGAGTGATGTTTGGCAGCCGTTTCCCTTCAGTCAACTGTTCGTAAGACTGAATTTATACACATAAAAAACACATGGTTATCAATCACAATCGAGCAGTTCAACGGTTAAAATCCACTCACATTCATCATCAAATTTGCGCTCTCTTAAGATTTTGTTTACAGCACAGCACGGCAGCACTTTACAGCCTTGAAACTGTCACTGATATCAAAGTTTGAAAATAGTTATTATTTTATTTGAAAGTTGTATATTATACATATATACACATATATGAAAATAAAAATATATATGCACATATATTCACACATATACAAATATATATTTGTGTGTAAATATATGTTATAAAATTTTATATTTTTATATACATGTATATATATGCAGAACAAATGTGTGCATATATTTGTACATATATTGCCATATACATGTATATATATGCAGAACAAACGTGTGCATATATTTGCACATATATTGCCTATACGTGTATATGTATATATACATACACATATGCACATATATTTACACATTCATGAGCACATATGACACATTTTTTCTGTATTTTCTTACGTATGTAAGGAGTCATTTCGTTATTTCTCATGTGAAAAAAAACAAGCGTTCTACCTTTTTCGAGATGAGGTGTAAAAAGCGTGTAAATGTAAAAATTAGTGAGATGAGTAATGTTGATCATTTAGGCAAATTAATCATTTGACATAAATCCTTCTACATCATCACCTTCAGGACCTAAGGTTGAGATGAATAAGTGGTCAAGTCACTTCACCACTGACTCAGATGTTAAACCTTTACTAGTAATGGTGAGGAATTTCCAGTCAGACAAGAATAAATCAGCATTTACTTGAAGTTTTGTTGAGTTTTCACAGCAAAACACAAAAGTTTTGCTGCTGATTAACGCTGATTTAAAAAAATAAATAAACCTGAATTTTTTTTATTGGGTAGACAGAATGAAGGTTTTTATTTAAAAACAAAAATCAATAAAGATCCTCTACATTTTTTGATTATATTTTTATAAAAATGTTATTGAATTTTGTTAAGTAAACTGGAGAGTTTAAGTTGTATTGAAAAGTGCATGTCTATAATGTGGTTGGCCAGACTGTCTTTGAACAAAGTAGTAACCATAATAAATAATAAATACCTGGGACCTATGAAGAGCCATCTGCTGAAGGCCACACAGTGGACTGTACTGAGAGTGAGCTGAAGGTCTGTGCTAAAGGACCACCAAATCTGAAGATGTCTGAGAGATTTACCATGAAACAAGACCTCCCTATAACCTGGTAGGAACAGTCCTAAATGAATACAAACACAGTTCCACATCGATTATTTAGACCTTGGTGATTCGTATTTATGTAGAAAAAAAAAAAAAGGTTATGTAACTGAAAGAATGAACTAAAATCTCCATTCAAAATGCAAGCTCCTTATGAAGAGATACTCTTTTCAACGACATTCTTAAGAGGACTAGCAAGATACACAACGATAGATGAGAAAATAGGTTGCGTGTTTTGATTGACAAAGACACAGATCAAGTTGTTACTGAAAAATGTTTATATAAATAAGAATCTTGGATGACTGATGGGAGGACGACTTCATCAAATTTATCTTGGTATATTTTCTTGTATGGTGTTTATACTGATGAACGATAAGTTGACTACAAGATACTGATATGAAATGACACAATTGTTGTGTCCTTATTTCATGAGAAAAAGCAAAGGTTTTCAGCCACATAAAACTTCAACAGACAAAAGCAAACAGCTTTTAAAAAACCAACTAATTCTAAAATATAAAAACATTGATAGAGAAAAAAGTAAAAAAAATAATAATAAAACCAACTAATTCTAAAATATAAAAAGATTGATAGAGAAAAAAGTAAAAAAAAAAAAAAAAACCTAACTTACTATCCAATCTAGTTTTTACAGAATAAGTAACATTTTTTCCACAAAGTATTATGCAATACTTCCAAACACTCCTTTATGCTAAGCGGCACTGCCTGTCTGCAGCAGAGGTAGGCGACTTTTTTCAGGTAATAATAAAATGTTCCACAGACATGTTGTAGCAAAGCTGCCCTGCCGTATGCTGTGGTGCAGTACACTCCACTCAGTGTGTACTGCAGGAAGTAAATGTATACTGTTATCAGAATGTGAGGGAAAACGAGAACTCACAAAGGCAGACAGACTGGTCGGTCAGGGGTTGATCTGCCAGCAAGTTAATGACCCAAAGAATTTAAAGTAAAGAAGCAGAGAGGCCTAAACCAATGGAGCTGGTTTGGGATGAAAAGGACAGAGGTGTGAAACCAGGCGACAAAGACAAAAAAAAAAACAGCTTCAACACATTTTTTTTCTGGTCACTGCACCAGAGACGAGTGAAAAAGTTTCTGTTTAGCTGCTGTTAAAGTTCAGTCTGCTGAGAAATATAGTATATTCTAGGTTTTTGTTTTGTTTAAAGAAAACTAAAATAACTCAACATAAAACATACACATAGTGCTATTGTAGTATTCATGCTAATAAGAAACTACACCGATTTCTAATAAGCAAAGTTACAAATTGGAGGCGACGGCACAGATATGTAGTAGAACAGGGACAGCGTCTGACCTGATTTCTTTCTAGTGCCGAGTAATGAAACACAGCCAGATACACAGAAGACAACAGTATGTAAATATTTCCAATCTCGTGCTAATGGAACACATTGTTTCGTTCCAAGCCCATACATTCAGAACAGACCCACTGAAGGACAAAGAGCTTCCATTCCTTCCTCCGCCACCTCCCTGTCCCCGCCTGACAAGTGTTCCTACGAGAACAAATCACCAATCGACAACTCAAACTCCTCAGAGGTGTCACAAACGGCACGCTAGCTGGTTTTTTTTTTTAATACTCAACCACACACAAAGTACTTTGGGGAACAGGAAGATGTTGAAGAAACCTGCCCAAAGGAAACCAGCAAAGGGCAATGGAGCACCACAAACTGCATATCCAGTATCTGCTGCTTTCAACAGGATGTTGCTATGTGCATCGCTCTCTCTATCGTTAAGGGTTAAACAGGAAAAAGGCTGCACCAGGGGAAAATCCCTTTGAAATGTTTATTTTGCTGTGTTCGCAAAAAAAAAAAAAGATTTGTTTTTGCATGCGTGTGTGTGTCCATATGTTTTCAACAAGGTGGAAACTATGTCAAAGTCAGAATTAGATCAAGACGCCAGGACTGTAGCCCCAAAACCTCCACGTGCAGACGCGGTCAGCGGCGTTATCACTACCACCGTGGTCATTATCACCGCAGAATAAACAGGCAGATTAACTTTTTTTTTTTTTTAATTAGTAAATGTTTGAGGACTTACTTGCACAGTGGCCATCAGGTGCCTCCATTTCAAGTGTGATGGGAGTACTGTGAAAAACCAGACATTAGAAAGACATCAGTTCACTGTGTTTCTAATGTTCTATTCCAAAGGTGTTTTCAGTTTTATAAAAAGTCATTTTAAAGACTTTGCAGTGTGTGATTTGAATTTTTCTGATTTGTAACATAAATATTTATATCAAATATGCCGTCTAATGCCATATAAATGATCTGATTATTTCATTAGATCAGATTTAAAACCACATTAATAACTCTGTATCTTCCACAACAGCTGGTACAAAGTCAGGTCAACACAATGAACTATTTAAAAAAAAAAAAAAAAAACTTAACATCTGGTATTTGGATTTCTTATGTTGCCATCAGTGGTGTTTTCAGTTACTGCATGTGTAAATTTTGTTCCAATAAATAAAAAGAATTGTCAACGCATTTACAATCAAATCAAAGTCAATGATTCCAAAACTAAATGTTAGTTAGCCTGTTCAATTAGAACAGCGTAGCAACATGTGCGATTTTTGACTGCATCAATAAAGATTCAAAGCTAATGGAATATTAAAGAGCTGCGAGCTGGTGTTTTGTTTTTTTAAAGCACGTTCAATCAAAGTTTTTAAGGTCCTTTAATTGAAAACGTCATCTGTCAGTTGACATTAGCACAACATCGCACAAACAGACAAACCTTTTCTGCAGTTTGTTCTTTTACAGACGACATTATCATTAAGCCTACTGTCTACGACACATTTCTAACTCAAACTTCACTCAACTTTTATACAAACACTTAATTCCTGCAGGAATGTGATTCTACATTAAAAAAAAGCAACAAACCACCACAATCCCTCTACTGTGCGACGGTAACGTCAGAAAATGTGTTGCTGATCTTTTTCAATCAGGGCTGCAGCTGTAGGACTGAAACTCTTAGCTCATTTTCAATGTCCAGCTTTGATCAGTATTTTGTCTTTGTTGTTGTGCGCCCCCCAATTTGGGAACCATTGGCTCAATGATATCAATTCTTGCATAGAAAAAAATACCACAACAACAAATTTCAGGACGCTTCGTGCTAATTTAACACATTTTCCCAACAACACTGTTGTCCTTTAAAGGGAAGTTCGTTTTTCTTAAAAAGTTTTTTTTAATTACAATTTACAGAGACATGTTTGTGTTTTTACATTCAGTGAAACACAAATAAAAAAATGATCATGCAGTACATGATGGGTTGATGTAATTACCTTCAGGAGTCTCCCTCGTGCAAAATTGGTTGGTAATTAGTAAAGCTTGTCTGGTTATGGACGGAGGGAGGGTGTAGTGTGCTGTCTCCACCTCCCTAAAACAAACAAACAAACAAAAAGTCTAAATCACTTATTTCATTCAGAGTACTCTGAGAAAAACTGTCTGGAGGACAGGTTTAAACGAGTCAAAAATAAATAAAAATCATCTTCAGAACGGCTCGAGGAAGCAGGGAGTGAGAGAGGAGTTAAGGAGAAGTGCGGATGTAGTGTCCTACAGGTGTCTGCCGCTGCGTCAAAGACTCCTCTGCGCGCGCCCGCCGTCGGGTCTCCCCTCCGAAATCGACAACGACTTCACTTTGTTTCAAGTTGGTGACATTTCCCAACAAGTCCCCGAGTCGTCAGCCGAGCTGAACACGCAGTGAACTTTTACAGTAGGAACACCGAGGGAGAAGACTCAACAAGTTGGTTAGGGAAGGAAAAAGAAAGAGAGGGATGGATCAAACTGGATCCACCGGTTCCAAGGAATTAGCCATAGCGGCAGGGAGCAGCCAAGCTATTTTCAACAGTCAAAGGACTGGAAGTGTGATGTCACTGACATGCATACATGTAATATTGTCCCTGTGTGAATTCACGAGCGAGGCAACGAAAACGTGTGATGGATGAACAGCTGCGGTGGTCCACAATTAAATGTCCCGGAAAAAAATTAAAGGGTTAAAAAAATGTTTAAATAAAATCTCAGTTGAACTCTGTCTGCTCTCATTCATACTGTTTTTACAGTCTGGTCTAGTTTTATTCTCTACTCCAATTAGTGGGAAGTCTGTGCTGCAGATGTACAGACAGGAGGCGCTAAGAACAGGGAGCGTTTACCTGACAGGCAACAACACAGCATCTCTGCAAACAATCATCAACAGCAGCAGCTGAAGCTGAAGCAGCTGAAGATGAAGATGAAGACACTTTTGTTGTAAATGTGGCCAAAGCGCCGTGTTTCTGGCGTTCGAGTGATTTCTGCTTGCCTGCGTTGGCGCTGAGTGACAGCTGTAATTCAACAGGTTATCCGATCACCGCAGTCTGTCTTCGCAGCACAGCCCCGTCTGGCTTGTCTTTCTTTTCATCAGACAGACGCTCCTCGTCTGTCTCTGCTGCAGACATGCGCCTCTGGTCTGAAGTCTGGAGCCCGCTACAGCTGTACGTCCGTGTTAAAGCAACCACACAATGATTAGTTAATGGAGGAAACACATCCATGCGCCCGTTGCATTTCTCTCGTCAATTACCTTCAAAACGGGCAGGAGTTCATACATTCCCGTGAACTTGCACACCGATCCAGACTGCACGAGACTTCTTCATTCTAGCCCGACCTGCGCCACACGGCGCCGACTGAAACGGTAGTTTGGTTCCGCAGCAGCAGCAGCGGCGGCGGCGGCAGCAGCAGAGGCAGCAGCAACAAAAGCAACAGTTGTTATAAATCCACCTCTGACTTCCTCCTCCATCTCCTCAGCAGACACTCAGTGGCTATTCTGGGTACTTGGTCTGACACAGAGAGTCGTATCACAGTGAGCCTGGACCAAGTCTGCCTCTCTCCTCACAAATCGATTAGGTTACATGGGGCCTCTTATTTCTGAGGCTGCAGCCTGGTTACATGCGGCGACAAAACAAAAAGTAGCACCATCACAAGGTTTTTATTTTTATTTTTTTCCTTTTCTTTTCTTTAGCAATTAGTTCCTTAAAGGATACTTTAAATTGTTTTAACCCCTACGTAAAACGGATGTGGTCTCCTCGTTATAGCGTCGCTTTAGAATTAAGAAGCTGAGTACTGAGAATATGAAGTCTGTGTAGTGAAGAACAACAACTGTTCATGAAAGACACATACTTGAACACAATTCATTCATTCATCTTTGATGGCCTAATTTAAAAGTAAAATACAATTATTTAAATGAATTAAATGGTCGTCGATATGTACGTTGATACGTAAATATATACATATATAAATTCACAATGTGTATTTTGAAATGTATATGCTTTTTCAAACATATATGCACATGTGTATACAGTACAGACACACATATACACACATACATCTATATACATATATGCATTTATACATACATATGGATGTATTGTACTGTACTATGAATATATCTACAAATATACTTACAGACATATATGTACATATATACATAATAACTAGAGATACACATACGTATAAACATATATGTACATGCTGTACATAAACCTACATCTTTACACATGTATAGTACCAGGACTCTGCCCTCTGTCTATGTTTTTCTTTCTTTTGCCAGAAACTCTGACATGTTTGAGTGGATTGTTTACCTGGAGCGCCACATGGTGGAAAGGTGGTGAGTGTTCTTGCCTCACAGCATAGGGAATACCAGTTTGATAGCTGCAGTAGTTTGACTACAGATTCCTCCCAAAGTCCACAGGCTGCTGGACTGCAAGTTAACTGGAGGCTACACTGAGCATAGGAACTGTCCAAGGTATATAAATAAAAAAATTAGAAGAATTGATCGACCGTCCAGTGACCAGTATCAATCAGTTTTCAGCATATTTGGCCCAGACCTGCAACATGGCATTAGCCTGATAGCAATTTAAGCTAATTGGTAATATATGTTACAGTGAAGTTAGCCAAATTGTTTGTACCAATAATCCTGATGCGATACCAAAAATCCCATAAGACAGTGTCCAGGACGAAGAAGTTAACAATAGGACTGCATTTCTGTTTTCTTTTTACTGCAGCTGTTTCTGGTTGTTCAGTATGCTAAGTATACCAGCAGGCGGCTGCAAGCTAATCCAAAAGCACCAATTACTTCATCAACTGTTAGTTGGTGGAAAGGCACAGATTTCCCAGACCTATTATACAAGGTTTTTTTGTCAGAAAGTTGTGTTCACAGAAACCCATTTTTATTTACAAAGAACATAATTCCAGTTAACAATTACTTTGTTTTGGAGGCTGCTAACCTGAAGAGAGAGAAAAAAAAACTCGGGTAGGTGTGAATGATTGTAGTGACAGTATTAGCTTAGCCTAGCCTAGCCACCCTTTGGAAGAATCCTGAAATAAAATTGAATGTATTGCTCGTTCTTAAAGCAAAAGCTATGACTGAAGTAAATTATTATTTAAAAAACAAAAATATATCTCATTGTACACAAATCATTGGCTTTTTAACTGCACTCATGTAACAAAATATTTGAAGATGTACAAGTGTGCAACGATATCAGTCTCCTGAATATATCTCTTTTTTTTTTTGCTTGCTTTTTAATCCTAAGTGTCCAATTTATGTCAGAAATAACATTCATGAAATATGGGTCTGGGCTGTGTTTGAGCCCACCATAGTTTTATTAGTAGCTAAATGTCTCCCCCTGGCGTCTGTGTGCAGAAACTGGATTCAAGAATTACATCATTATATGATTTTTATATATATAATTATTATATCGTTTTTTTTCTAAACCAAAGAGGAGGAGAAGAATGTTGTTAAATGTATTTCCAATTTTCCCATAATGCAATTTGTGGGAGCTGGACTATGACATTTGCCAGGTGACAAAAATGTTAAAGGTTGCGTATTACTAATCCAGAGACAGGTGTCTACATCACAGAAGTGATTGGAAGTCTGACGTTTGTGGAGCTTTTTGAGTGATGTTTTTCCTTATGGTATTAAAATGCATGTAAAACAATAAGTTACGACGGTACAAAACAATGACATGTAACTGAACTGCCAAAGACCAACTGAGTCAATTCACAGGCTGTACTGTGAGAACTGTGTGAACTCCAAACTTCCAGGTCTTTTACTTTAGTAAATGTGTAACCAGAAATGAGTCTAGTCTGGCAGAACAGAAACAAGAACTGTTGATGCTGATACTTGGAGCCCAGGTCCTATAACCACAACAAATTTTCATTTTCACACCTCAATCCTCCCTCAAGCACTTTTAACCCCAAAGTGTACACCCACATGTTGTGCACAAATTTATGGTGAAAGTCACAGCCTTTACACATGCACTTTTATCTAAATGAAAGGTCTTTGACAGGGGTCTGCAGAGGGGGTATATTATTTACTCTCTCTGTATATATATATACACACCCACACACATATATAAATATATATATAATCTATATAAAATATAGATTTGTACAACAGAGTGTAGTACGTAGTATGTCATTGATCTTTTTAAAATTGTGGATGGTCTAAAAAAAACTTTAATGCCGGCAGCTTTAAAATGAAGAAGACCTGTTATGTTGTAATATATTATTAGTAAAAACTTTTATAATGGTATTTATGTTAAAGTTTAATGTCAAGTTATTCAAGATTGCAACGGTTAGTTATTTATTATTATCAAGACAACAAATGGAAAAATAACAGAGAGATGACGTTTAACTGTCTCAGTCACTGGAGCTAAAATAATAATAAAATACAACTTAAAAAAAATACTAAAAATTGTAGTAGAAGTAGTGGCTGGTAGATGGCACTCTTGCTCTTTCAAATGTTCCTAGAACCAGTACGCACTTTCACATTAAATGCTTTGCAGAACCTATGATTACCAGCCAATTATGAAGTTCCATTCAATGCATTTAACAGCAGTATTTGATGAAGACACATGTTCTTGACAATCTGACGTCATTACATCATAGACTCAGAAACTGCTCTGTTTCCAGAAAATCTGACGTCATTACATCATAGACTCAAAAACTACTGTGTTTCTAGAGGAGGGCAAGTTTAAGTTTCATCATTTTAATCAGCTCGGTGATTTTGAACTTCAGTTAAGATCAGTATCGGGCAACAAAAACAAACTGCGCTCGACATGTGGACAACGTCAGTGTAGTGAGGCAGGAAAAAGGATGAATGTGATCGTATCCTGTGTCAATCAACACATGTCAGTCTCAGATATATCACAGTTTGTATTGTAAAAGTCATAACTATAATCATACTTCACAGGTTTGGATCGATGCACAAAGACCAAACAGCGCCACCCTGTGCCTTCTGCTACATTTTAGAATTTAGTGTAAATAAGACGAAGGGACATAGTGAACCAGTGATATTGCTGAGTAGCTAACCTCATCCCCGTTTCATTAACCACTGTGTGAAGTCAGTTGTTGCGGTTGCTGATTGTGTTGCTCTCCTCAACCAACCACCGTGCACCAGGCACCGAGTTCTAAATGAATCCTGCGGCAGAATTTCAAAAGCATGGAGATGTACTAAAATATAGTTCTAATATATTCTGATCATGTGTTTGACTAATATGGCAAGTATGCAAAACATCACAGCCGCATGCACACAACGGTTGCCCCGATGCATATCAATGGACGGAGACGGCAGCAGTTTTAAATGTTTCATATTTTACCTCCTATAGCCTGGATTATTTTTTGTGAAACGTAATTTCCCCCCCCCCCAATAACTACAATGATAAAATGTAACCTCGTTAGATCATGTTCAGGAAGTATGAGACTTAAATTACTTCAAATTGTACCACAGCACTGAGATCTGAGGAACATTAAAGGGGGTAAAACCCAAAGTTAGCCTGGGGCTAACGAGTGTCCAGTGTTGACATGAGGTGGACGTGGTGGGAATTAAAAGCGTATTTCTAGGCAACAAATGCAGAACATCTAAATATCAACAATTAGGGGGCGACATACAACATATTATACAACATATTGCTGATATGCCTGTAAATCATTAAACATAAACATTTAAAATACTAGTAGTACTGTGTCAGTTGAAACTTGTTTATGTTTCTTAGGACGGCGCATCGTTGCCATGGTGACCTCAGCCCATTCACATGTATTGATCAAACCCAAACACAGTCAAGAACAACTTCTGTTTTACATGTTCAGCTACTAGTCCTCAAATAGGTGGCTCAGGGGCCAGATACGGATCGCAGACTGATATTGAGGGCTTCCGACTTAAAGTGAAAGATTAAACTAATCCCACAATCCTTTGGGCAGTGCTGGAATACTAGGGGAAAAATTCAAACTCAAAACTGGGCTTCAAACTAGCAAACAAGTTTTAATTCTAGCTGTAGGGCAGATTCGGTTACTTCTATTTCCCTAGTGAGGCGTGACAGGTGTTTGGTACAGATCGGATAAATCCCATAATATATGTGGTTATGTGTAGATAATGACACTATCAGCCGCAGTTCATTCTAGTGATGTTCCAACAGAACACGTTAGCGTAGCATAGCAGTGAAAATGTATAACTGCGGTAGAAATCCAGAATCATCAGACCGAGTTTTATTTTTAACCGTGGCCATTTGTTGGGACAGCTTCAGATTCCCGTTTTCCTGACAGTCGTGTTGTTTCATCCTTTAAACTTCACGGCTGATTGTGTTGTTTATGAGATGTTTGTTCTCTGCTCACCACACTGTAAAGACTGGTTATCTGAGCTGCCTTCCTGTCATCTCTCTGTTTAACAAGGTGGTTCCTTTAGTCAAGCTGTTGCTCAGTGAATTTTTTTTTTTTGTACCTTGCTGCTCGCTGGAGACGGTTGTTTGAGAGAATCCCCAGAGAGCCAGAGTCTCAGAAATCCTAAAAATCCCAAAGTCCCACCTATATATATCTTTTATTCTGACAGTTTGTTTTGATGGATGCATGAATCTGATAAGAAAAGAGCAGGATATGGACTTTCTTAAAACCAGTGGTGTGTGAAGGTTTGGTTTGGAAGCACATATTAATTTCCATTTAATCAATTCATTTACAATATTCTACTTTAATAATATTAATGTAGCATCACTGACTGTAGCAGGTGTTCACAGCTGGGCTTCTCAGAGGCTTGTTAGGCTTGTTGTTGTTAGCATGCAAAATGTTAGCATGTCATCATCTGAGAACAAATTAAGTCGGTATAGAGATGGAAGGTTTGACCTACACTTGGCATAAGTTATTACAAGTGGGAAGATAAATGTCTGGACCAAATGCCAGGACCATCCAACGGTGGATGAGCTATTAGAATACGAAAATCTTCGGATAAAGCCTACTTAGTGTTGCCTTTACATACGTTAATAGGTACGTTCGTGTAAAACAACCATAAACCATCCACTAGGAGGCGGCACAGGGTTCAGAGTTCATCTCCGGTACTATGTCAGGTTTTTCAGAGCAATGAAAAACATGTCAATGGTCAGAACTGTTTCTGGTCTAAACAGGGGTGGTGCAGGTGGGCTATACTGGGACAACAGCGCCCCCATGATTTTTAGTGAAACTGGTCCTTTGCTACTTTCATTTGATCAATAAAAACCTACTGTAATGACAACAGTGGGCGAGTCAGAGCGGCTCACACTTTTACTCACTCCTACTTTTTGTCATGTACTTTTGGTTTTACTCAGTTACTATTGTAAACATAACTGTTTTTCTGTTTCACTCCCTTCTTCTTCTCATGTCTGTAGGTAAGTCTGGTTAACCATTACTGATCTAATAACCCAAACAGGTGACCAGGAAATACAGGAAAATACAAAAAAAACAAAAAAAAAACAGACTTAACTGTATGTATAGTTCTGGTATATGTAGTACTCTTCATTCTCCCCATAAAAATATGTTTATTATTACAGTAACATACATCTAAATATATAAAGACTAATATATAAACACTCTCCTTAATAGTGAATCTATTTAAAAAAAACAATATATTGTGTTTCTTTTATGCTAATGTTTTATCAAAATTTTCTCAAGTGCTATTCATTTGGAAATTGGATGCAGACAGAATAGACTCAATATCCCGGTTAAAGTATTCTTACCATTTATGAAGACCATGAGCTGTGAAATTGCAGAACTGAAGAAGAGCACAGAGAGTACATTCATCTGCAGTCCAGGCTCCTGCCCATCCCTCCTTCATTTCTGCTCTTTGTTGTGGTACACGCTCACATCAACTGATGACGTTCGACATCATTGGTGCGAGAAGTTCTAAACTGTAAGACAGATGAGGGGATTTTAAAAGGTGTCTGTTTTAAATATCTAAAACATAGGTTTTATTTGATCAGTTTTTCTTTTCTTTTCTTTTTTTTTTACAATTAGAAAACACTGAGAAAGTAATAACCATAACCTGCGGACATCTGACTTCCACTGCAGTCGACTGCATCCCCATAAGTCGCTGCGATCCCCCCTGCCAATTTGATTTTCTACATTTATACAGGATTTATAATCGGGATTTCATAGCCCACAAAGGCTCAGCAGATCCAGCTCCAGGCTCCAATGGAAAACAAACTAAATTACCATGCAGAGACAAATGGCAGACAGTTAATCACAGCCAAGGTCAAGAATCTGTTGAATTTTTAAAAACATGAAGGTTTTGCCCACATACATCATGGCCATCTTTTTTTTGTCTGCAGCCAGGACCTTGGAGTCCAGCCATGGCAGAGAATCTCACCTCACTTCTCTGTCACGCAGCTCTGGCAGTGTTCATTACTTTGTCCCAGATTCATCTGAGCTCTCTCTCTCTGTTG